GGAGGTGAAAGTAAAAAAAAAAGATGTGCAAGGGGCGCCATTTGTCAAAAGAAGGGGTACGAAAGGGGGACCTCTTTCGGGAAAAAAGGGGAAGGGGTTGGGCCCCGGGGGGAAGCGTCTCCCCATAAAAATTTGTGGGGACCCCCCCCCCCCCCCCCAACAAATGGCCGTCATCCAAACCAATGCACAACTAGACAGTCCAGTCAACCTAGGAATTCTAATTGCAACCGATTTACTGGTTTCAACGTCGAGGTTGCCCATCTAGCAACATACTCAAAACAATTCAATTACACTACGCTTGGTTTTCTGGATTTTCCCTACAACAGAGTCGGCCAGGTGTAACGAAAAGCGCACTGAGCATTAAAACCTAGAAAACATCACAATAAAAACGTCGGAGTCCTAAGCAGAAAATCTGTTAAGTCTTTGTCAAGGTGCGAAATCATAATCCGAAAGGAGGTTGCTCGAGTCGCAAGAAAAAAGAAAGAATCCCAGTTTTTGATCACACGTGTTGTGATGAGGTTTGATGAACATAAGGACTTCACAAAACTCGGTCAAAGAAAACGGGAATAGGTTAAACAGTTGGGTTTACCTCGGTGTAAAAACCTGTGAAGTTTTTCTTTCTTTTGTAGCTATTATTTTCCCTGGGGCTCTATTATGTTGACTTCTCAGTGGCTTATTTGTATTCACCGTTTTGCGTCACTCGTGAGTTCCACAGGTTTTTACACCAAGGATGAGCCAAACAGTTTGTACCGATGCAAATTTAGTAGCTGGCTGATGGTGAACAGTTTGATTTGATTATTCAGGGTATTGTCTCCAAGTTTCATGTTTTTGTGCACAACAATAGCTAGCATTTTTGCATATTTTAAATGCATTGATAGTTACTCCTGTTCACGTGAAAACGAAACCTTGGAGACAATACCCTTCAATAATGAGGGGCTTTCACTTGTAAAGACAAAATTTTCGATGAAAAATTACCGAATTGTGGCCCTTAATTTTACTGCCTTACAATACATCAATCCTCAAAGGGTCTCTAAAAAGACGTTTAATCTTCGGAATCTCAATTTTTTAAAAAATCTATCGAGCAGTTGGATTATTTCGTTCAAGTAGACCAATATGTTTACAAAGTCGTTAACAAGAGTGCTTCGATACATACTAATCAAATCCTCCTTTCTAGCAATCGGCTGGAGCTATCTACAAGATCTTTCGCACTCGTTTTTAAAAAGATTGAAACTACTATGAGGTGGAATTGCTTGTCAAAAACGCTTCGTTTTCTACAGATATGGGCCAAACATCAAGATTATCCATTTTTTACTGTATTTCTAACCATAAAAACTTCATCCCAAAATATCTCGATAACGCTATTACAGATTTCGCTTAAGCTTTACCAACAATGAGGCGGTATTGGAGCAAAAAGCTCCCTGGAACGATTTTGGAAGAACAGTAGCTCCCAGCACCGAGAAGTACTACTGCAAGTAAATTAGGTAACGGCGTCATTTCGTTGCTATGTCAACTGCTATGTCATTGCAACAATGCCCTTAACAAATTTTCATCTTTATCTAGTACAGCTGTGTTGGCAATTTTTCAAAATCTTTGTTTATGGCGACGTAGTTTATACTCAAACTTGGGAGATATTGGCCCTGAAAAACTGTATCGAGCCACCTTAAACTGCTAAAATACTTACTGCATTTCTGCTATTGAGCACAAAAATTAATTATTAGTCCTTTTAACTATGTTAATAGAGACTGTCTAATAATTTCCCTTTAAATACCATCATAGAAAAAAATTCAAGCTTGGAAAGCGGAATGTGACGTCATACGCGTTGCGGGGTGACCTGTAAAAAGTCGTCAGGACAAAACAATGACCCAGGTGTTTCTCAAGCCCCGTGCAAACAGACGCAACATTGTTGGATGTTACATGTTGCGTCCGTTTGCACCCTGTTGCATGTTGTTACGCAAAGTTTGAAACCGGTCAAACTTTTCAGCCAACAACTCCCAACATTTCTTTTGTTCCGTGATCGCCGAAGCGTAGCGCAACAATGTTGGATCCGTTTGCACAGCTCTTCCATCATTATTGGGGCGACGCACGCTCATTACGCATGGTTTACAAAGACTTATGGGTTGTATCCTTCCTACGAAGCACTGCAGGTCCCAACATTGTTGGGAGTTGTTGCATCCGTTTGCACGCAGCCTCACACATTTAGTCGGCGTTTTTAAAAACAAAACTACCCAAAATACATTTGTGATATTGTAGGAGTAAGAAAAAAACCCCCACAATTATCAGATCTAATTTGTCTAAATTTGTGATTTTTCTGAAATTCGGTTTCCTGAAGTGAAAATTGAAAATCTTTATTGGCAATATTTTTCATGTTGCACCTAACGTATTTTGGCAGATTTCTAGTACATTGTTAAGAAGCCATCCAAAAGTTAAATGGCGTTGAAAAAGACA